AAAATGATGGCCTGGATGAATTACAAGCCGGAATTAAGATTGCCAGGAAAAATGTCAACAACCTCAGATATGCAGACGATACCACTCTAATGGCAGAAAGTGAAGAGAACTTAAAGAGCCTCTTGTTAAGAATAAAGGAGGAGACCACAAAAGTTGGCTTGAAACTCAATATCAAAAAAACTAAGATCATGGCATCCGGCCCCATCACTCCTTGGTAAATAGAAGGGGAAGTCATGGAAGCAGTGACAGAATTCACGTTCCTGGGATCTAAGATCCAAGATCATTGCAGATGGTGACTGCAGCCATGAAACTAAAAGGCTTCTTGGGAGAAAAGCTGTGGCAAACCTAGACAGCATAATAAAAAATAGAGATATTACACTGCCAACAAAAGTCCGCATAGTCAAAGCAATGGTATTCCCAGTAGTAATGTATGGTTGTGAGAGTTGGACCTTAAGGAAGGCCGAATGCTGAAGAATAGATGCTTTTGAATTATGGTGCTGGAGAAGACTCTTGAGAGTCCCTTGGACTGCAAGGAGATCAAATCAGTCAATCCTAAAGGAAATCAAATCTGATGGTTCCCTGGAAGGCCAGATACTGAAGCTGAAGCTCAAATACTTATAGCCACCAAATGAGAAGGGAGCACTCAGTGGAGAAGACCCTGATGCTGGAAAAGATTGAAGGTCAAAGAATAAGGGGATGGCAAAGGATGAGATGGTTAGGTATGTTACCAATGCAATTACATGAAATTGAGCAAACTCCAGAGGACGGTGGAAGACAGGAGAGCCTGGTATGATGTGGTCCATGGGGTCATGAAGAGTCGGGCTTGACTATGCAACTGAACAACAACAACAAAGGCAGAGATAGAACTCTTGAGTTATGAGTGAACAGGGAGACTGGTGCTAAGGAGATGAGGGCAGTCCTGTCATAGTCATTGAACATGTGGAAGGAGAGCAGGCTCATATCCACTGACCACAACTTCAGTTGAACCTGTGAGCAGAGTATGAATGCACGCAACGTGTCAGCTTGATTTGAATTTTTCACAGTATCAGATTATGTGGACAGAACCTACACACATGCATACTGACTTTGTACATGGGTTTAACAAAATACATGGGAGATGACAACAGTAGACATAATTCTGCTCCACACCCGTCATTCACTGAAAAGATGTCTTCTGAAAAGGACTATAGTATATTTAGAGGGCCGAACAGTACAGACTTGAGAGGAGAAAAGTTGGTTGGCCAGAGTGGAGAGGGGAAAGTGGGACTGAGCCAAGGGAAAGATTCTTGCACCCACTCATTTGATGCATTTAAGATAATTCCAATTCCATTGTCATTGTGTATCAGTAATAAATATGGTATCCATCCCTTTTATATGCACTGTTGATATCTAACAAGTTGAGTGGGTGTTATATTATAATACCACATTACCTCCTGACTGGGTTTCCAGGTTTTGTTTTATTTATAACACTTGTTTCTTTTCTTTGCCTTGGTTACTCCTGCCAGTCAATGGAACCCCCAGCAGCCAGCTTTCTACTCCTAAATCTACAAAGTCTTCTAGCTCCTCACCAACAAGTCCTGGGAGTTTCCGAGGACTCAAGGTACGTTGTGGATAGCTTCGCCTATTTCCAGCAAAATGATCCCTTCTGCTTTGATCTAGTTTTAGAGAAGCAACTGGAATGTATTGCAACATATATTGTGTACCTAGTAATTATCATTATTCACCATTTGGTGTTCAGCAATCAAAGAAACAAGTTGAAGGCCTATGAGGGAGGTAAGTGATTAAGAACTCCCCAGTAGTACAATATCACATCACTGAACTCTGGTTCTAAGTAAGTCTTTTTGCTCATCTGTTTGTGAACCTAAGCAATCTAATGCTGTTTTGCATCTGCCCTGATTATTGAGGTTTGGGATTAGGAGAATAGAAAGGCTTAATACATATTCCTTACCTTAAGTTTCCTTCCATGTTCCAAGATACTTTGAACTCTTTGAGGTTCTGACTTCCTTGGGTGATGATGCAGATAATTAGGATTAGAGGAAAATGGTTCTTCGGTAGGACTTTTAAAGCTTCACTATAGTCAAAGTGCTTGAAAGCTTGTAGGATGCCAGAATGACAGGAGTCAGAGTATATGGATTAGGATCAGGGTGTACAGGCCCCGCAGCATTCATTCTGTGATATTCTCTTCTCCTCCACAATTCTAAAAGCTATTAGGAGTTTCAAAAGGCCAGTTTATCCTCCGTGTTTCCTTCTTCTTCTTCTTCTTCAGCTAATGCTCAACTATCCTTAATATTTTGTAGCTCATGGGTTGCTCAGTGATAATTGGTTCTTAATTAACAAGGTAATATTTTTCTACATATCTGGAGTTTCCCAACTATGCAGAAGACTGCCTACAGGTACTCAACCTTGAACAAGTTGGCCCAGAAGGGATTGAGTGTGGAGCAGCAATAATTAGGAAATCTCTCTCCATTAGGGCAGTAATGAGCTCTGGCTCCGAGTAACTTGCTTCTCATCAGGCCCTGAATCTCAGCAGTCTTTGCGATGATGCACTTCCTTTGGCTGATGAAGTTCAAGGGTATGTGCAAAGGAAGCTTCTTACATGACTCTGAACTTTTGTAGTATGATGCAGAGGGTCACATTTTTTCTTCTCCTTCTCTGTATTTTATAGCTGACTTGGAGGGATTTTCACCTCATGGTCATGCCTAGACCATAATTTCACTCAATTCCAACCAGTTGTAAATTCTGTCCTCTTAAATGCTTAGTCCCAGGTAGGGATGTAATTGATTAGGACAAGGGATAGTTTTTTTCTCCAATTGTCCTTACCCCTAAAGTCTTAGCTTAAACGTGATCAGATCCCTTAAAATGTATAGCACCATGGGCTGGCTGATGTTGAAAGTTATCACAGAGAGTTGCATGGTTTACGAAGTATATCCCTTGCTCCTCATTTCCATTTAAGGATTTGGGCCAGCTTCCTGTCCATGCTTTGTTTTGTTGCTTCCTTTTAACTGATGCAATACAACTTGGCTCCTCATAGGCAGTAATCCCCAAGTCATTGGGGAGGGGGAATTAATTTAATATATTCCTGTGGAGTCTCCTGAGCTTACAAAAACCTCTCCTTTGTCTGTGATTGTGAGTGGCAATGTTTCACTTTCCTGTTGAGAAGCACTAAACCATAAATTGTATTATTTTTATTTTATTTATTTACTTCATTTGTACCCCACTTTTCTCCCCAGTGGGACTTAAAGTGGATTACAGTGTTCTCCCCTTCTTCATTTTATCTTCACAATGGCACTGTCAGGTGGGTTAAGCCGAGAGTGTGTAACTGATCCAAAATCACCCAGCAAGCTTCCATTGCAGAGTGGGGATTTGAACCTGGGTTTGCCAGATCCTAGTCCAGTCCTGTGCTTTGTTCATTTGGGCTCTGAGTAACACTTGCATGTATTTGAATTAGAACAGATATTATTTCAGTACCTGAAATGTATTCCCAGCACTCTTGTTTCTTGGAAACTGTCCAACAAGCATTCATGCAATCCAAAAATGTAGCTTCCGTAGCAGCAGAGCTATCACTGAACTCTCAGTTTATAACTGACAGAATGTTGTTGTATTCATGTTGATTTGTCACTGTGGAAGAAATGAACTTTTAATTTGAGGGACTTAATTTTTCTATTTACAAGAGCCCCATAGCATTAGGATGAAGTAATATTAGACTGAGAATGTTGACACGTTTTCTGGATTTCAAGCACAGTTTTTAAATTAGCATAAGGTCTTTGTATTTTTTTGTGCGGGGAGTGGTAGTGTACTAGGCAAAAGACTCAGGTTTTGCCTGTCTTGTCATATGCAGTGTGAAAGGGTGTGTGTGGGAATTGCATCTTACAGCTACACTGCAAAAATTTGTTTTATCTACAGCCTCTATTGTGGCAGTGTTGGCATTCTAGGTAATGCACATGACAGAATCAAAGAACAAGCTTTCATATGTGTGAGTGTCTCTCTTGCCAGTAATTTGTAGTCTGTTCCTAGCAAAGTATGACAGGGAAGATCTGCCTTATTATTCCTGCTCCCTGCATACCTCTTGAATTACAAACTAATATTTTCTTTGAATACACACACATGTGAAGTTACCTTATACAGAATCTGCCATTGGTCTATCAGGATCAGCACTGGCTGTTCTGACTGACAGCAGCTCTCCAGAATATTGAGTATAGGTCTTTCATAGCACCTGTTCCCTGGTCTTTTTAACTGAAGATGCCAGGAATTAAATCTGGGACTTTCTGTGTGCAAAGCAGATGCTCTGCCACTGAACTAGGGTCCTTCCCCAGTAAATCTGTGTCTTTTCCTTTAGCCTGTTGCATAACGTAGATTGGCATAAACCTAAAATGTTATACTGTTTTAAAGAATTAACTTCTTAAATTTCAGAGCAAACATAATATTTTCTTTATTTCAGAACATTACTACTCATTGGAAAAGTATCACATCCCCATAGTGCCTCTCTTCTCCCCCCCTCCCCTGATACTTAACTGGAACACCTCCCAGGATAAGGATTCACTGGCTATAATTTGTGGGCTTCATTTTTGCTACTCAGCACAAATTTTCAATTGCTGATTCATTCAGAAACTTGGCATTTACTCAACTGTAATTGCAGCCAGAACAATGGAAAAGGACAATGTTCTTTTGACTGTTCTGGAAGAAGAAGATAGACAGTTCAGACACAGTGTAAGTTTTAAATAGGTCCTGATTGACCCATGTCTGAAATGCTTTATCCATTCATCTGTTGTTCTGTTTGGCTGGAATTAAAATCACATCCAGACCCTAGAAACATGACCTTTGGGGTGAGTGGACTTTCGCATTTCTTTTAAAAATAATTTCAGAGAGGTTTTTTGGCTGTAGATATCTATTAGGGATGGGCAGAAACTGGTAGAATATGGTTTGTGTCGGTTTAAAGGTTATGGCTGAACCATGAACCAAACCATGAACCGGGAGGTTTGCTCACAAACCAAACCAGTTCTTGGTTCATGGCCCCACAAACCCCATTGAAAGGAACCGCAGTCCGTTTAAATGGGGTTTGCAGAAAGCCCAAAAAAAACATCTGGATGGCAGGGGGGCCCTCTTTTTTTTTTTTTTTTGCAGCTTTCCTGGGAAACAGAAAGCAGGGGGTTAAATAACCCCTTTACACCCCTGCTTTCCACTCTATCCATGAACCACTTTAAGAGTTTGTGGAAGTTTGTGACGGTAGATCCATCATGAACTTCTGTTCACGAATCATGAACAGGGTTTGGTCCGTGCCTACTCTAGTGTCTATATTTTTTCCTAAAGTAGTTGTCCAGAGCCCTGATGTAGATGGTCCAGGCTAGCCCAGTCTTGTCAGATCTCAAAAGCTAAGGAGAATTGGCCCTTGTTAGTACTTGGATGGGAGATCACCGAGGAAGTCCATGGTTGCAACACAGAGGTGGGCAGTGGCAAACCACCTCTCCTCCTTTCTTCCCTGGATAACCCCAACAGGATCTCCATAAGTCAGCTGTGACTTGATGGCACTTTCTGCTACCAGTTGTCCAAAGGAAAGTAAAAACGTTGCACAGCAGGAGTATTGAAACAATCCAGATATTCTGTATAAAGCCCAAGCTTGGATACCCTGTTACTGCTACTTTGTGTTCTTGAATTTGAATCAAAACCTTATATTGAAATATGCCTTTGGAAGTTGAGGGAAGCCTGGGTGATGAAATTTCAACAACCAGATTCATGAGGGAGGGATTTAAATATTTTTGCACCCTTCTTAATTAAGCTTTCTTTTAACAATATTGTGGAAAGAAACTAAATTGGTCTTGTTTGCCTCCCTGCTTCTCATCCTCGGGCATCAGTTCCTCTACCGTATATGTAGATGGCATTTCATTTCTGTTTCATAGGTAGGATTTAGATGACTATTAAGAAAGAGTGATAACTTTTATCAAAAATAGGGATGTCCTTTTCTTTTACGTGATGTTTTGGCAGGAAATAGAATGAAGCCATGCTGTCTTTTACAATTAACCCATCTTGCCTTAGATGAGCCTATGGGCACATGACTATCCAAACCCTTCTGAACATGACTGGTAGGACTGATACAGATATAAATGCCTTCTTTTATCTTCTTTGGGAATGAAATGCTGAGGTCTCTCCTCAAGGCTCTGATATGTGTGCGTAAATTGCCATCAAGTTGCAGGTGACTTATGGCAACCCCAGCAAGGGGCTTTGAAAGCAAGTGAGAAGCAGAGTTGGTTGACCATTGCTTCCACAGCAGAGTCTTTCTTAGTGCCTTCCAAGTACCGGCCATGGTTAGCTTCTAAGATCTGACGAGATTGAGCTATACCATGCTGCTGCCCCCCATACAGTATGGATAAAAACACTTGATAGCAGGACTTCACTGTGGAAATGGGATGTTAAAAGTGTGCTACAGAAGTAAGTGAAATTATACTCCTATTCTATGACAACAGGAAAAAAAAACAGAAACAAATTGCTTTTGGAAAGATCTGGAGTGGCAAATAAGAGAACTGCAAATCATTACTAACATCATCTGGACTCACCCTTATAACAAGGTGTGCCAGTCATGCTAATTGGTATGGAATCATGTGCAGTGAGAACCAAACTATAGGTGATGCTAGTTAATCATTGACTGTTTTTTGTTTGTGTTTAGAGGGTTTTTTGCAGTTGAGGAGGCCACAAACTGAAGTGGAAGATGAGGGTGAGGGTGTTGGTTTCTTAAGTTTTTTCCCTTATGACACTTAGTCCCCCAAACTATTTTTGGTCAAGGAAGGGCAAAGATGCTGGTACATGTCTCTTATCTTTCCCCTTGCAAGGCAAAAGACACCATACAGAAGATGACTTTTTCTTTTTAAAAAATGGCAAGAAGGGAAGAGGTTCAGAATCCCTCAACCTTGTGCTGGTCTTTTACTTAAGTTTTCTGTCTCCCCAACTGCACTATGTAAAATATGCACCCTGCTAACAGGGACAAACTATACAAGACAGAATATCATGGGAAGTTTGACCTTGAGCCAATGTAATAGTATATCTCAACAGATTTACTCTTTTCTCGGCCTGATTCTATAGTATATTCTCAAAGAATAATGTTTTATTTTGGTGTAGGAGTCATCATACAGATGCTGTTGGAGCCATTTGTGCATATTTGTCTGACAAGTAGTGTTATTTTTGTGTCTTTCTAAAGCTTAAGTGGCAGCCAGTCTATTTTCTGTCACATTTGCTGTCTTGATGATGCAGCTTCTATTGGATGATTTCAGCATGTATTCGTATCCTGGGAGATGTTAAAATAAAACCTTACTAGCCAGCTCAATTATTGCTATTACTACTAGTGAAAAGGATTTAAAATATTTTGCTGCATAACCAATGACAATGTCAACTGCTGCAGGAAATACTGACCTTACATTCCCTATTACTATCCAGAGATTCTTTTGTCCAGTGTCAAATGATAAGAGCTTATGTGATAATCCTTTAAGTAAAAGTATAACCTGAAGGATGGGAAAAAACGGAAGAATCATATTGAAGTGAAAGAAGGTGCTTAAAGTTCCTAGTATTCGCTTAGACACATGCTTTATCTCACTGGGCTTTATTTTTACTTTTCCTGTGTTCAAATTTGCAAGGCATTTGGAATTTTTTGATGAGGTTAGCTGGCAGAAGTGAATGAGAGGATAAGAGAATGCAGATAATGCTTATTAGTGTAAAAAACCAAAGGATGGAAGCCATTCAGACTAATACTAGCATTGCATTATATGCCATTCTGTTAGTAAAACAACACATTGGACTAGGGTTGCCAAGTGTTCTTACCTTGCCGGGCTCCGGGAGGTCCTCGTTGGCTGGCGCGCCCCCCGACGATCTGGGCCACGTCCCCAACGTGAGTGACGTGGCTGCGTCACCTCTGGTGACACAGCTTCGGGGGGCGGAGTTCCCCCCGGGGTCCAATTCTGCCGCGGCGGAAATCGGGCCTCTAAAGCGGGGGTTTCCTCGCCCCCGCCCCCACTTGGCAGCCCTACATTGGACTGGACCCAGAGCAGCAGTGTGTAATTTATACTGCAGTGCAGAGGTGTTGAACTAATTTGTTATGAGGGCTGGATCTGACATAAATGTCACTTTGTCGGGCCAGGCCATGTGTGCCATAAAATGTAACACAAGGTACTGGAGATACAAACTTTATAAGGGACAGCAACTGGTAAGCTCCGAGTTGGTATGTCCTCACTGCAAGGCCCCATGGGCTGGGAGCGGGGTGCAGAGGAAAACCCACATGGGCAGACTGGAGAGCCAGTAGTGCAGTGCTGGGCAGACACTCGCATGCCCCAACATATGATCATCTGCACACACACACACCCCACGTGCAAATGCTGATCCCTGAGGCCATCCGTGACAGCATCCCTAGACATGCAAGCGAAGTGGAGAGGTATGAATGCGACTGCAGTGGCTCCCAATGTACCACTCCCTGAAGTGAAGGGGTTCTGCTTGACTGCTGCAGATGAAGTTGTTCTGCCGTGCTCAAGCCACAGTTGGACTGGCTCTACCTACCCACCCCTGAGCAGTCTCCTGTTCCCTCCCTTGCACTAGTTGCTCATGGGCTGCATAACAGCCCTGGACAGGCCACTTCTCTCCCCCCCGCCGCCTTATGTTGGATACCTCAGCTACAGTGTGTAATTTTCTTACCTCCTGCTGCAGTCCTACTGGCCCTGCCCTGGAAATGGTGCTTCTGGGAACAGTGGGGACGGGGGCGGGGACGCTTAGGGCTGCAGCAGGAGAGGGGAGCCAAGAAAGTTGGATTCTGCAAACAGAAGTCCGCGTATCTGCAGAAATGCTGCTCTGAATCCAGGCCATTTTGACTACTCCTGATACCCAAGTGAACAGAAAATAATTGTAAAGTAGATTGATTGTAACAAATGTTACCCTGCTTAAGCATAATTAATTTTTGCTGACGTTTTACTTTATAGTAATGAATCAACTACAGTTCCTTATGTTAAGTTTAATGATTTGGTTTTGTAAGACTGGTAAAGACATAATTCTGAGAGCACTAGGTAAAAATAACTGTAAAAAAATCACACACACAAAACTGGTCGACAACTTTTCAGTTTAACTATTTTTTGTGAGTATTGTGTGTTTGCGTGCATGTAAGCCTGGAAGTTATGTTGACTTCTGGTGATCCCACTAGCAGGGCTAGGACATTCAGAGAGGTAACTTATATTACCCGCCTCTGCATCCTAGCCCTGGTATTCCTTAGAGGTTGCCCTTCCTTTCCAGGGTCAGCCCTGCTTAGCTTCCAAGATCCAGGTCAGGGCAAGTTTTCAGTTTAATTATTGGTTGCATAATATGTGTGAAAGAAACTGAGATGCAAAACTGGTTGCCTCATGACCCATACAAAGTCAGCCGCTGGCAAAACATATTGTAACTTTGTAAGATTTTGGCCCTTTCCCTCTTAAATATTACTTCATTAACTGTTTTAAATACATTTCAGCTGAGAAACAGAGTGCCCATCAGACTTGTTAAAAAAGGAGTAATAAAAAAAGACATTGTATGCTATTTATTGTGTCTGGCTATGTGTAAACAGATCAAATTGTTGGTAAATGTTATCCTGAATACATCTGTACAATGACTAAGGCAGCAATATTAAGAACACTTTCCTGGAAGTAAGCCCCAAATGACATCTACTTCTTAGTAGACATTCTTAGAATTGCACTGTAAGATTTTTGAATGTGCGATGTCTGTCTAAATAAGGTTCATTCCCCTATCTTTTGCTGCCTTTTTTTGCATACTCTGAGCAGACGGGCGACATGCTGGTTACATGTAACAAGAAAATGAAAGCTAATCTATTTTCATTGAAATAGGTCTTGGATTCAATTATTCCTTCTCTTCTATAGTACCGTTTAACTTTTCCTGCTTATTTGAAGAAATTATTTCCTGTCACATGTTGTGTTTCTGTGAACCACTCTATAGGAGCTTTGAGAAAGAACCCTTGGATTTAGTCACATTAGATGGGACAGTTGGCACAGGAGGGATACTATTGTTGTTTATGGGAATGATGAGTAGACTGCCTATCCTGGGCTTACTTTGAGTGGATTTAAGCTGTCCACATGTAATTAAATATTAATAGGACTAGCAGAAATTGGATATTTCAGGCATAAGAAATGCTAGTAAAATCATATTTGGTTTTGACTGGTGACTGCATAAAATACGAAAAAAGAAGGCTACTGAATGGATCTTGTTTGTATGCCAATGTGATAGCTCAGTAATGTATTTACTACAGATTTAACTAATTATATCTTTTCATAGATTCCACCACACTGTGAGTCTTCTAATGTTAATGGTATGCCTGAACTATCTCCTTGCCTGAGTCCTGAAGGTAGGATTCAATAAAATGTGTAAATATTTTTACATTGCTTTGTCGGTGTCTATGCTGGAGATATTGCAGTTTTAAAATGTTAAGTATTGTTGTCTAATCTTATTCAGTCTGGCTTCCAGTCCTGGGTATTTTCACAGTTTCAAATGCACAGAAACAGGAAGTGTCTTTATTAGTGCAGAAGCAAAGCAATTCTGTTTTGGGCAGTAAGTGAGACTTACCCAACTCTGAGCTACTTTTCCTTCACCCTTACATTTGTAGAAGTGAGTAGTGACTCACACCCTACCACAAATTTTGTTAGTCTTTAAGGTGCTACTGGACTCTTGCTCTTATCTACTTCTACATTTGTGTTACCTTGCATATGTGATGTGAGCAAAAAGAGCCCATATGAGAGGGTATTGTGGGCATAACAATTTGTTAATCCCCAAACTGCTGACATCTGCATAGCAGTGCCATACTGCACAGTTGTTTTTGGCTGGGTTGGATGTTTGCACTACACCAGTTTGGTGTAGTGGTTAAGTGCGCGGACTTTAATCTGGGAGAACTGGGTTTGATTCCCCACTCCTCCACTTGCACCTGCTGGATGACTTTGGGCAAGCCATAGTTCTTTCAGAGCTGTCCTTGAATGAGCAGTTTCTGTCAGAGCTCTCTCAGCCCCACCTACGTCACAGGGTGTCTGTTGTGGGGAGGGGAAGGGAAAGGAGGTTGTAAGCCACTCTGAGACTCCTTTGGGTAGTGAAGGGCAGGGTATAAATCCAATCTCTTCTTCTTCTTCTTCTACCATGTGGATTTAGACCCTTAATGTGTACTGCCAGATACTGAATGCTTATTATCAATGCAGAAGAAAAATATAGAAAAATTGTTCTCCCTTTCCTCTCCCCATGCTCTTTTCTTCTGCTCTAGCCACTCAGTTTCTTTTCCTCCCCACTCCCTCAACCAACCATCTGCTCAGTCTGTAACTGGCTTTCCTTAACTCCCACTTGCAAACCCAGTGCAGTGTTCCCCATTCCTGTTCTCTCCCCATACATCCCTCTGTCTGTGCCTCTCTGTCTGCCTTTCTCTATTTCTCTTTTTGCACCAAATGTTGGGCACTAAAGTGCCACCCAGAGCCCCCCTAAATGATTTGCCCTTTTTCTGCTTCCCCACAAGTTAAAAAAACCCACATTTTTTGTTTTTCTGCAAGCTTGAACATATCCTTTTTCCCAGGACCATCTTATTTCTGGGTGGTCCTACTGTGTGGATTTTTGTATTCACACAGGAAATGGGGCATATGTGGTTATTAGGTGTATAGATTAATTCCCAACTTCCAGCTGGTGCAGGTGGCTAGAGAGCATAGTATAGTATATTATGTAGATTTCAAGCTGGTTACTTCATACTATTTATTTAACCTTACATTTTGCTGTTATTAGGTAATAGAAGGTGCAGCTGGCCTTCAGTCTTCCATTCCATGACTTACATCTTTCTGTTTTAAGATTAGTATGCTTTCAAGTAGACCACACTGACTTATCATCAACATTTTCCCCCAAATGCTGAGATGTATTCTAGTATGATCAAACCACATATAGGTTAAAAACAGTACCACTCTCTGTTGAGCCTGTACCAGTCAAAGTGTCTCACAGGGTTGATTGGAAGAAAGAGATCCTTCTAGGAGTGCATGGTAGAATAAAAAAATAAGTTCTAATAATATAAAGATTGTGGCACTTCAAGTTTAGCTAAGCATGTCCTATTGATAATAGTCCCACAAATATGTTTTTAAAGCACCACATACCTAGAATTGTAATATACTGCCAGGTTACTTCCCTTAGTTCTGTCTACTAGAACAACCAAAAGCCAATGGAATGGAAAAAAACCCCAACATTTATCATTATCCTGCAAGGCAGGGATATGGGGTTGAGGGAAATATGCACAACCAACCCAGCAAACCCCCAGCATCAAACTTAACACAGGTGATGAACTGCGAGGATGTCCTGAGCTGAGAGCTAAGGGCCAAGCAACAGGCTCTAAGTTACTTGCAAAAAGGGGAAGGGCAGATGCTTAGCCCAGGTCCTATTACATCAACTCAATTGTTCCCTGATAACCATCTGAGGCAGCTAGTCTAGAATGAGACCTTAGTCAGTGGCACCAAACACCACTGAGAAATCCGGAAGAATCACACTCTCCTGTCTCTTTCCCAATGAAGATCATTCATCACAGGGACAAATGCAGTTAAACTTAAGTGACCTAACAGTGCAATCCTGATAAGACTTATACACTCCTAAATCAATGGGCTTAGAAGGGTGTAACTCTGCTTTGGATTGTACTGTAAATGAAATGGAAGATGTGCCGTGATCATTAAATGGAATTTCTGCTGCTTTGGGAATGTCAAACTATGTATGAAAGCTGTTTTGATGACTGTCCCCTGTCATAGCGCTGCAAGGTTATGCAGCTTCATTCAAGCTTTGCTTTTTTGTCTGTCTTGTTCTAGTTGCAAAGTTGGAATGACACATTGTACTTAAACAAATAAGCTATTTTTAAATCACTATATTATAGTTACGAGTGTACTCATAAAATGCTTGATGTCAATGAGGGACAATCTAGATTACCCACCTCACTGTTCACCTTCCTTTTTGTCCTTTTCTTTCTGCAGGTGTGAATGGAAACAAATGCTTAGGGACATCAACAATTCTTGAGAAATACAAAGTGGGGAAGGTGATTGGTGATGGCAATTTTGCTGTGGTTAAGGAATGCATAGAAAGGTGAGGAAGAAAACCACATAGCTATTCATTCTTTTTATTTGATTATGACCTCTAAACTGTGCATTGAACGGACAGAAGGAAATTATTATAATTTCAAAGACAATTAAGTGCTACATTTTTATCTTCCTTTTTGTTATTTATTGGGAAAAAGTATTTGCAGTTGTAATGACTGAGAAGGCTTCATTTCATATTTTATAGGTAAATATCAGTTGTCTTTAGAGAATGATCAAGCAACATCTTCACCCTTCATAATAAAGGACAGTATTTATCATGGCATGTTTCCAAGAAACCTGTAAAATAACTGCCCCCTATACCATGCTCCCTCTAAGCTGTGGAGTCCTGTGAGCAAAAATTCTACTTTGTGAGCTACTTGCATTAAAGTTGTGAGTGAGCGATTTGGCTGCTGCATAAATTAGTTTGCTCTGGAGCCATCCTTCCTGAGGGAAGACAAAAATGTGTGAGCCGGAGGCTATATAACTGTGAGCTAGCGCACACTAACTCAGCTTAGAGGGAACTCCGCCCCTGGGCAATTACCAGAATGTCCTGGTTATTATTAACTGGCATAATAATTGTACACAATATCTAAGTCAATGAAGTACTCAGTGTGTTTTTTTCACTGTTACTTGTTACTTTTTTCACTGTTATCCTCCTAAACTACTTCACTAGTATGCATGCAAGAGTACTAAAGAACTGCTGTACCATGAAGCACACTGTTTCTGATACAGCTTTCTTTCAGTCTAACCTACATTGCAGTTTTGTACTGCAATAAATTGGTTTCCATTGCTACTTAATCAAAAGTTAGCAAACAAGAAGTACTAAGACACCTGAGGAGAATTCTCTTGATGTAGAAAGTTGTGGAAGAAGGGGGAATCAGGTTTTTCAGTTACCCTTCCTGGTTAGCTCCTAACCAACTACTCAATGTTTCAGCATTTTTCTTTTATTAGGGTACTGAGAAACTAACACAGAATAGTCCATGACAAAGGAAAATGTATGCTAAGAATTGTGCTGAGGGGAGACTGAAGAAGAAGAGTTGCATTTATACCCCTCCCTTCACTCAGAGTTTCAGAGCAGCTTACAATCTTCTCTTCCCACAACAGATACCCTGTGAGGTAGGTGGGGCTGAGACAGCTCTGAGAGAATTACTCTTGAGAGAACAGCTCTGAGAGAATTGTGACTGACCCAAGGTCACCTAGCTGGCTGCATGTGGAGAAGTGGGGAATCAAACCTGGTTCTCCCAGATTAGAGTCTGCCGCTCTTAACCAGTACACCAAACAGGTGTAGTGTGAAAATGAGGATACATCTGTGCTTTTTTTGTGTGCAGGTATTTGTGTATGTGTGTGTGTTCTTGCATGCCTGGAAGTCATGGCAACTTTTGGCAACTCCTACTGGGGGTTTGGACGTTTTTCAGCGAGGTGGCTTGATAGCCTGCCTCTGTGTCCTGAGCCCTGGTATTCCGTGGTGGTCTCTCTTCCAATGGCTTGCCAGGGTCAGCCGTGCTTAGCTTTCGAGATCTGATGAGATTCGGCTTACCTAGGTTATCCAAGTTGGGGCTGGTACATCTATGCTGTTGAAGGACCTTGAGCAGGGCCAGTTGTTGCTATGCATGCGGGACTTGCTAAAGGAGGATTGGGAATGATTGTGGGCATAATCCAGCACAATTATTATTTTGGATGCTGTACCATGTGACAGCGAAGGACTCAATGAAGAAGTGAAATGTTTTCCATGAGCTTCACTAAGCAACAGGAATAACAGAAAGAAATTATCCCCGGCCTAGACAATGTTTCCACATGCATTAAATGGGGGACATCTGTGGAGATGTAGCTGAGTGGGGAGGAGGTATTGCTTGACATAAAAATACATGGGATGCAGTGGGGAGGTGGGCAAGCATAGGAAGGATGGGATAGTAGATTGTCTAGAAGGGAATTTTGGAGGAAGGTAGTGTAGGTCCATCTAAGAGGCCTAAGGACAGAAGAAGTGCATGAAGGAAGGGGAGGATAGAGGATTTCAACAATAAAGATGTGAGAGCCAAGTCTGGGGGGTGGGGAACAGGGGAGACAGCATTTGCCTGTTCATTCAGCTACAGTCCATCTTTATGACCATGTTTCTTTAGACATTATCTAAGAGTCTTCTTAATTGGGAATTTTAAGGATATTAGTTTAAATCCAACCTTAAAGAATACCAGTGTCAAACAAATATTGGTACTGAATACCATTAAACCTCTTAGGACACTTTCGGCACTAGCCTGACAGGAAAAAAATTAAGCACCAACCTCTTCAGTCATTTGCTTAATACAGATTGCTTATGTAAGCTTTGCCCCGTTTCCAGGAATTCTTTAGCAAATGCCTCTAGAGCTTTAAGATGTTTTTCTATGAAAACAAACACCCATTAGGCAGGATGATAAATCTTAGCAATATATAGCTTGAAAAACTGACATACTAATAGAATTGGAAACTTTTTCTTGCCAAGTGATAGGAGATAATTTTGTTGTTCAGTCGCACAGTCGTGTCCGACTCTTTGCGACCCCATGGACCAGATCATGCCAGGCCTTCTGGTCTTCTGCCATCCTCTGAAGTTTGCTCAACTTCATGTTCATTGCATCTATGAAGTTAGAAAAAAGGCAGAATACCAACATACACCCTGTAGCAGCTCCACATGAAGGGCAATGCAGCTGGGACCACTGCAACTCCTGGCTTCTCCCCCATGCAACACAACCTGTAACTATTTTATTTATTTATTTATTTATTTGGATTTCTATCCCGCCCTCCCCGAAGGCTCAGGGTGGCTAACAGGGCACAATGCCAGGTAATAACAATGAAATAATATAAAATGTTAAATTACAATAGACAATTAATAAACAAGTAAATAAACATAATAAAAACATTTCCGGTGCTCCTCTATTCAGTTCCAGATGTTAAGATTTTAAGACCAAGATGGTGTTCTCAGTGGCATAGCTAGACAACCACAGCAGTGCAAATCCCACTGCCCTGCCGTCCCCTAAACACGTCCCGTTCCCTCCACTGATGCCCGCACCAGTGGTAGCAATATGTGGAAATCATAGGGCGTTGATGGAACAATGATGGTGAAACAATGATGGTGGCGGCTCATATTCGAAAGCCTGGTGGAAGAGCTCCGTCTTACAGGCCCTGCGGAACTGTACTAGGTCCCGCAGAGCCCGGATCTCACCTGGGAGCTCATTCCACCAGATAGGAGCTGCCACCGAAAATGCCCTAGCCCTGGTCATCGCAAATTTGGTGGTCCTGGGGCCTGGAACGTCCAGGAGATTTTGATTCCCCAACCGTAGTGCCCTTGGGGAACATGTGGGGAAAGGCGGTCCCTTGGGTATGCTGGTCCCTGGCCATATAGGGCTTTAAAGGTAAGAACCAGCACTTTGAAGCAAATCCGGTACGCTATTGGCAACCAGTGCAGCGCTTTCAGCACAGGCCGGATCTCGTCTAGGAAGACCCATCAACAGCCTGGCTGCAGCATTCTGCACCAGTTGCAGCTTCCGAATTTGCAACAAAGGCAGCCCCATGTAGAGAGCATTACAGTAGTCTAGCCTCGAGGTGACCGTTGCACGGATCACTGTGGCCAGGTCATCACGGTCGAGGAAAGGGACCAACTGCTGCGCCAGCCGAAGATGGTAAAAGGCCAACTTGGCAGTGGCTGCTACCTGGGCCTCCATCGTTAACGAGGAGTCCAGGAGCACACCCAAACTCCTAACCTCCGATGCTGGCACCAATGGTGCCCCGTCGAAGGTCGGGAGAGGGAGCCCTAACCCTGGACCAATCCGACTCAGACCCAGGACCTTCGTCTTTGCCGGGTTTAATTTCAGCCGACTCAGTCTGAGCCACCCAGCCACGGCCTGTAGTGCCCGATGAAGGTCATCGGGAGTGGAACCCGACTGGCCGCCCAACATCAGATATAGCTGGGTGTCATTTGAGAGATGCAGGTGTGACTTTCACAAAATAGCTTGCTGGCAATGCAACAGGCAGCAATAATTGTAGATGGAGCAAGGACATTTGCAGAATCAATGAAATGAACAACAACCTTAAACTGAGGAAACTGTTCAGGTCCATTGACAAACAGCATACGACACTCAATAAAACAAGGGGGAAAACAAGAAAGGGGATTCTGATAGCACAGGAATCAGCCCATTGTTTTATTTCTTTGGGGGCCACTGCTCCTGAAACCTGTATGACAGACATTAGAGCAATATGTGTTTCTGCTCTTATCACTGTACCTCTGTACCTCTGTATGGAGTAGTGCTATGCTTGTTATGTTGTTTTCTGTCATACAGTTTGAAAAGGCACATAACATTAAAAAGTCTCTAGAACAAAAATGGTGGCCACTCTATGGTGAGTTTCATTGGTCATTTCTGCTCTATAGGCCTTGTGTTGTGCCCTTTTTTCAGGCAATCAAAGGCCATACCACTCTCTATAATCTGCATCCCACAGGGTCAGGGTTATAGATAGGCCAAGCAGACACAGTTTGCCACCAATCTCGCCATTTTGAAAATGTATAGAGAGCCCTCACATGCTCCCCTTTCATTCCCAGAGACACCGCCAGATTGGGTAGCACAATCCCTTTTAATAATCACCCCTCACTCAGACACTGGCACAGAGCTATTGGGGCTGGGAGACTCAAACACCTCTTCTGCCATCCAATATATATTTACATGTAGGCTGAGATCTTAATATGTGTTTGTTTCTTTTCCTGAGACCACACACATCCATCCCACAGGGTTAAACAAACAAGGAGATTTATTGATGGTTTGAACACAACACTGGAGTGAATCAGAAAGAAGTTACAAAATTTCTTTTTAGTTGAACTATTTCCCTATTCAGGCATTTGGGATTCTTCTTTACAAGTTGAACTTTTCCAGCTAGCGTTAAGCTACCCGTCTGCCACTTGTTTCACTCAGCCAGTCTGACTCCCTCTCAGCTGAAAAACTGCTGTTTTCAACTGTCCCTCTCACCAAAATTCCCATTGGTCACTCTTAGGGAGAGGTGGATCCTAAGTGGTCCATCAGACCTTGTTTGTTGTCCTCATGCCATAGGGTACAGAGAAGATCTTTGCCTCTGTGCATGTTGAATGGTTGTGGAGAACCAAGAATGATGTGGGATAGGTAACAAGTAGCAGCTGCAACAGAGTTTCTATGGCTAGGTACTCATGAGGTGCTCATGAGGGAGTAAAAGTAAAAGAAGGCGTTAACACCTAGGGGCTTGGTCTGGCTTCTTAGCCTAGCTCCTAGCAGATGTGTGTGTTTTGGGGCTTCGCATGCTGAGGGGAAATAATGTAGTCTAAAGATGGTATTCTTCCTTAAACTGTGAAGAACGCCATGTACCTCTGCTTGTTCTGTTTTGTTTACTCTTGCCTCAGGTAACAATGGGTAGTTTGGTAGCAGTATTCCTTTTCTGCAGATTGAATATTTCCCCTGTGTTCCATGTGTATGGGATACTGCTGCAAGCTGTTAAATAAAGGAGGCTTGTTTATTCAGTATACAATCATTCTTGATTGTAAGATAATTGGTGCTCTTAGGTTTTTGAGCTTTTTATACACTTGGCTCTAGAGGTCTGAGGACTGAAGTAAATGTTACAATTTTTAAAGCGCTGGATCCAGGGCCTTGGACCCAACTTATGTTCCCTGCATCCATGCAGCAGCAGGGGGCAGCTTCTTTGAAAAAGAGGAGAGCCCAAAGGGGCTCAGAACTGTGCTGTAGGGGGGGGGGGCTGCTGCCTCCCCACAAGATGTTTTCCCACATCCTGGGGTGGAGTTATTTCCCCAGTTTTGCTGCTCCATGTACAAAGGATAAAAAGGAGGAGCAGGTGATATGAGAGCAATGCTACACTGTCAAGTAGCTACAGGGTGATAGTAGGACTGTGCTATTAATATATATATGTGAGGCTTCCAGTCTCATTTTAAAATCAAGGGATAAGTGCTAGAAGCTTCAGTTAATTTTTTCTCAATACGCACGTCAGTGAAGTGAACTAATTAACTGGAGTGCTTTAAATTTCGCATATTCTTGTGGTATTTATTTATTTTTCTACAGATGTTCTAACTGCCTTGTGAACACTGTGGAAAGTTAGCATGGAAATATTACTAAGAAATGAAAGTAATAGTTGTGCAGTGATCCTTCTACAGTCACATTTTGTGGTGTTTCCCTTCAGTCACTTTCTAAGCTGTTCAAATTTGCAGGAATCTACCTTCAAAATTCTTTTAAAATGATTGCCATTTTATCATGTAATCGCAAAACTGGTGTGTGCTGTAAATTAACAGTAATCTGTATGGTCCAAAACGTTCCAATCTTTATGAAGGATTCCAGTGAAAAGGGAGGCAAGCTTTAGTTACTTTAGAAACTGTTTCTGTGAGGTCTTTAATAAGTTTTATATATTGTTGTATTGTGTTCAAGTTGTTTCTGACTGTGGCATCAGCTGAAAAATGCTGCATGTGATTTTATTATTTTAACTGTGAAACTCAGGTGTATTGATCAGCTATTCAATAATTTAATATATAACATGGCACAGCTACAAAGCTTTCCAATTTTAAGTATAGTGGTGCTAGCTTTAAAAGTATAGTGCTTGGTTCTCAAATGACATTGAGGTGCTATTTTTTTCTTCTGTTCTCAGTTCAATTTAACTGTAACTATGACAACCTAGCAGACACAGCTGTCCTTTCACACCAGTGATATTATTCTGCCTCACTATGTTGTTCCATAATAGGCATCGTTAATGCATGCTATTCTGGCACTTGTACAGCATGAATTGATTAGCTATAACAGATTCAAAATATGTATACAATTATCACTGTTTTTGCTCTTTATGCCAAACTGGGCACTACTGAATCATTTAGGGAGGAAAACTACTGCTCAGCAATCTCCATCAAATTTAAGCATTGTTAACAAGCGCCACAGAAACGAACAATGTATGACTACATATTCATGGGGCATTCCAACATAATGCATAGTAAAAAGCAGAATTTGTGACCAAGTGATCCCTTGACAAGGAGCTATGACCAATCATGGCCCTGTGATAAGTGAATTTTTTGGAAAGATTTTTTTTTGAGAGTATGCCTTAAAAAGATCTGTACAATAACGTACAGGTAGTCGTTGATGAACTCTTTCCTGCTAGTATGTGTTTCTTGACAATCTAGGTGGGAAATTAGAAAATCCTCATATAGAACTTTCCTTTCTCATGATTGCCTCACTCCATTCAGCAGTCCCTTGCTTGTCATCCAGGACTGCTCCTTGTTTTCTCTTAAATTTACTTGGCAGTGGCAACAAAATCCGAAACGCTGTCTCTTTTCCTTTCTTCCAAAAGCTGTAAAACAGTTTTGAAAGTGCAACATAATTTCCTTGGGAAATGTCGCTTTTAAAACAAAGGAAGTGACAGGGTTATGGATTTTGCTGCCCCTACCAGGTAAGTTCATGCAATGGGAAGGGGTGGTTAGGGACTCTTAAGGGAGATGGGGAAGATCTGATTGGGGTTTGGGCTGTTGGTCAGTATAATGCAAGCCCCAGTGCATTGTAAACCACTATCCTGAGCAGGGATGAGGATTTCCAATGGGGTGAGTACAATTTTCAAGACAGTCCTCCCCCCAATCTCAAGAATATCTCTATGTAACAATTGTCTCACAATAGTGCTGATGCTAATTGAATCATTGTCTTTTTAATATGCTTCTCAATAATACTTAGCATTTTGTATAGCACTCTCAGATGTTCAAAGCATTTCACACATTGTCTTATAATTCTTGCTCTCATATTGTCTGAAAGGCTGATGGTTTTTTTCCTCCAAAGCCACTTCACAAGATTTGAGCCAGTAGCTCTTAGCTACTATGCTACCCAAGTTCCCATAGTATTTGTGCAAATTGCTTGTGGCTATATTACACATACTGAGTTAGATCTGGCATAAACATTCCACTTACACAAGCAGAAATACAAGAATAAGACAGTACACACTTGCACTAAGTCAAACTTAATTGTATCTGCTTGTGCAAGATCTTGTGCAGACAATTTCTGGGTCCTATAATATGTCAGGAGGGAAGTGCTAGGGGTTGCACAAGAAGTGGAACTATGTTAAGTCTATTTATGTTTCCACTTGCCCATCTCTGGATCCAAGCCACTACTTGAGAGACAGTGTTTGCGTCTTACTTTTTCTTGGAAATGGTTTTATGAAGACTTATTTATTTATTAAGAGCATTTCTATTCTATCGTCCCTCCCATGTTCTCCCCTCCTTCATATTATCCTTGCAATATCCTTGTGAGATATGTTTGGCTAAGAGAAAGAGGGTGGCTGTCCCAAGGTCATGCAGTAAATGTCACAGTAAGTAGAAATTTGAACCCGAGTCTCCCAAATTCTAGTCCAGCCCTCTAACTTGTTATATCGCACTGGCTTACAGGGTGTATTTTGAAGGCTGTTATCCAAATAAAAATAAATCAGTTTTTCAATCTGGGACGGAACACCAGTGTGATGTAACAGTTAAGAGTATCAGACTAAAATCTGGGGGGCCCAAGGTTAAATCCCTTCTCTGCCATAAACTATTCTCTAAGGTGATGGACCACCATACCACAGGATTATTGTGAGGATAAAAAGGGGATGCAAGAGCCACATATTCCACCCTGAGCTCCTCAGGGGAAGGGAGGATAAAAATGAATTAGATGCAGAGATTAAAATATCCGCTCCCTCCCCATAACTAACTTAAATGGAAATAACTCTACATAGTTGAACTAATTTCCTGGTAACTGTGCTTAGGTTTACTAACAGGCTTCTTAGCACAGCATTACTGTAGATGCATAGAATGGCAATAAAATGTTTCTAATACAAATTGCCTGTAACAGGATATTCATGTCTGTTAGTTCTAAAGATATATTAAGGTAACTGGTCTAGTACATTTTAAAATACATCTCTATATCCCTTTTTAAAAATCTGAAATGACTGACAAACCTCTAAACTGTGTCATGTGACTACAAGGCTGCCAGTTAAGCAGAACTAGGTGAAAGATATGGAGCTAGTTTAGCATGTGATGCTAAAGCAGGGGCAGAATGTGAAAGCATTAGGTCGCACTAGAGTAAATGATTGCAGCAAGAATAGTACTGGTAGTCAAGGCAACAACAGATATGGCTTTGCAGAGAAGCAAATAAAAGCAGTCCTACCATCATTTTTTCATCTGTTCCCATTGATGAAAGCAGTTTTATCACTCCATACAATCAAAAAATGAAAAGCAAATGCTGAATTCAGGCAGAAATACAAGTATTTATTTAGTGTTTTTGTTTGTTTGTAGGACCACTGGAAAGGAGTTTGCTTTGAAGATTATAGACAAAGGAAAATGCTGTGGAAAGGTATGAAGAGAATATAAAATAATTCCATTGTAGTGTGAGAGATCCTTCCACATTCATCTCATCCAGGATGATACTGGAAGATTCCAAAGTCTGGCCGCTGAATAGCCAAAATGCCATATAAAACCCTGAGTGACCAAGATTCACTGTTGCTCTGGGAAATTTACCATTTACCATTACCAAACCACTATTAGGGTTTATTTTCTGATAAGAACATTTACAAATGTTTGTTCATCAGTGTTGTATATTTCTGAATGTTGTAAAACTGCATCTGCTTTCACAGGTATGTGGTTAGCAGAATTACGCTGTCTAAATAGCATTGTTATTGCTTGCAAACTGAGTTTGTAAATTATTGAGTAAATCAACAGAAAATCTATCCCATCTGTTTCATTAATTGAACAAAGAAAATGCAATGGCATCCAATATCCTTTCGATAATACAAGAAGACATCAAAATAAATTTGCTTCATTGTAGCAAATGTTAATCCTATATATATAAAAAAGTCCAACATGTTGGCACTTTCTGGCTCTCCCATTGGCTGTACTGTGTGCTTCATTAGCCATTGGCCTGTCAGCCGCCACTCAAAAGTACTCACGTGACATTGTCTGGATGCTGGGTCCACTCCTCTCCCCCAACCACTGCCAGCCTGGACACTGTTCCCTGACAGAATAAACTGCCAAAACAGCTGTCTCTCCTGACTAAGACGCTTCTACTTCTGCTTCTGAGTGGGATCTCAGACAGGTACAGTGCCATAGACTCTACCCTCCAAAACTGTCATTTCCTCCTGGGGAACCATTGCTGCCAATCTCCTGATAAGGGCTGGAGATCACTCAGAATAACAACTGCTCTGCAGAGATCAGTTCCCCTGGAGACAGTGGCTGCTTTGCAGGGTGGACTCTGTATCATTATACCATGTTGAGGTCGCTTCCCTCCTGCTTGGGTCCCCACTGCGGAGAAAGACTGTACTTTTCCTAGGTAGAGGGTGCGTGGGGGTGGTGGAAAGTTGAAGTCAGAGGTTGATGGTTGATAAAAGTAGGTTGATGTTTGACTGGGAGGGAGATAGGGTTGCTAACTCCATGTTGGGAAATTCCTGGAGATTTGAGGGGTGGAGCCTGGAGAGGGTGGGGTTTGAGGAGGGGTGGGATCTCAGACAGCTACAATGCCAGACTCCACTCTCCAAACCAGCCATTTCCTCCTGTGGAACCATTGTTGCCAATCTCCAGGAGAGGGCTAGAGATTACTTAGCATTACAACTGTTCTTCAGATGACAGAGATCAGTTCCCCTGGAGAAAGTGGCAAGCTCTGTGTCATTATACCTTGCTGAGGTCACCAGTTTGAGCCCAAATTGACGCTGAGTGCCCAGGGCCAGGGCACCCGCCCAGAGCCTCTTTATAGAGCTCGGTGTATTTGTTTCCACAATGGTGCTTGAAAAGCTGAAGTCAGAGGGGCAGATAAAGGTAGGTTGATGGTTGGCTGAGAAGGAGATAGGGTTGCCACCTCCATGTTGGGAAATTCCTGGAGATTTGAGGGGTGGAGCCTGGAGAGGGTGGGGTTTGAGGAGGGGTGGGATCTCAGACAGCTACAATGCCAGACTCCACTCTCCAAACCAGCCATTTCCTCCTGTGGAACCATTGTTGCCAATCTCCAGGAGAGGGCTAGAGATTACTTAGCATTACAACTGTTCTTCAGATGACAGAGATCAGTTCCCCTGGAGAAAGTGGCAAGCTCTGTGTCATTATACCTTGCTGAGGTCACCAGTTTGAGCCCAAATTGACGCTGAGTGCCCAGGGCCAGGGCACCCGCCCAGAGCCTCTTTATAGAGCTCGGTGTATTTGTTTCCACAATGGTGCTTATGATCAGCTATAGTTTGCCTTATGTCAAAAGGACTTAATTTGTTTGTGTATGTTTATATACATATACACCTATTTTATTTTTTTGATTTATACTTCACCCTCCCCACCAAGAATAATATAAAAACAATTATGACATAGATAAAACCATCTAAAAACAATTCAAAACATAAAGTGCTAGCTGGGTGTAAACTAATACATTAGGGATGGCGGCAGCGGTTACTTTATTCATCAGTTCTTGCTTTATCATACATATACGACTGGCACAGGCTGTAGTGGTGGAGTCGGGCACCTCTTTAATGATGATGGTGGTGGTGGCGGCAGCTCAGGGTGCCTTACAAGAATAACATAAAAACAATTATGACAGATAAAACTATCTAAAAACAATTCAAAACATAAAGTGCTAGCTGGTTATAAACTAATACATTTGGGATGGTGGCAGCAGTTACTTTATTAATCAGTTCTCGATCTTTATATATACGACTAGCACAGGCTGTAGTGGTGGAGTCAGGCATCTTTTAATGATGATGTTGGTGATGGTAATGGTGGTGGCAGCGGCTCCTTAGTCGAAGGCCTGGTGGAAGAGCTCCATCTTGCAGGCCCTGTGGAACTGTAAAAGGTCCCGCAGGGCCCTGATCTCTTCTGGGAGCTCATTGCACCAGTACAAAGCCACCACCGAGAATGCCCTGGCCCTGGTGGTTGCCAGTCTGATATCTTTAGGGCCTGGGAGGGTCAATCGATTTTGTGACCCTGAACACAGTGCTCAGTGGGGTACATATGGGGAAAGGCGGTCCCTCAGGTATGTCGGCCCCTGACCATATAGAGCTTTAAAGGTAAGAACCAGCACCTTGAAGCGAACTCGGAATGCTATCAGCAGCCAGTGTAATGCCTTTAACACAGGCTGGATGTGCTCCCGCATAGGGAGACCCATTAGAAGTCTGGCTGCTGCATTTTGCACTAGCTGCAGCTTCCGGATTTGTGACAAGGGCACCCCCATGTAGAGAACGTTACAGTAGTCCAGTCTTGAGGTAACCATTGCGTGGATCACTGTTGCCATGTCATTGCAGTCGAGGAAGGGAACCGACTACCTAATTAGCTGGAGGTGATAAAAGGCTGACTTGGCAGAGGCTGCTACTTGGGCCTCCATTGTTAAGGAGGCATCCAAGAGCACTCCCAAACTCCTAACCTCCAGTGCTGGCACCAATGGTGCCCCATCAAAGCTTGGTAGTGGCACAGGCACAGGACCTCCGTCTTCATCGGATTCAGTTTCAGCTGGCTCAGTCTAAGCCAACCAGCCATGGCTTGTAGTGCCCAGTATAGATCTTGTGGTTTAGAGTCAGACTGGCCACCCAACAACAGATATAGCTGGGTGTCATCCGCATAGTGGTGACAACCCAACCCATGCCTTCGGGCAATCTGGGCAAGGGGGCGCATATAGATGTTGAATAGCATCGGGGAGAGTACTGCCACTTGAGACACTCCACAATTCAATGGGAGCCTTCGGGACATCTGTTCCCCTAGCGCCACCCTTTGTCCTTAGAGAAAGAAGGCAAGCCATCATAAGGCAGACCCCTGATGGTCGACCATGTCGATTGCTGCCAACAGGTCCAACAGCAACAGTCCTGCCGATCCACCCCGATCCAGATGCCTCCGGAGGTCCAGCACCTACACATAGGAATGAGCTATTCCTAGGAATTAGCTGTGTTGTTAACCTTTTCCTTTGGTTAATGTAATGTGATTTAAATGGTTTAATCTCCTGGACCCTTATACTTCAGGTTGCAGGTCTGGGGTTCCATATTTGAATGCTTTCTGATGAAAAAGATTCTCGGGACATAAATATTTTGAATTTCAGGTAGAAAGGCACATACATGTTTAAGCTAATGTTTTTCTGTGTGCAAAGAGAGGGCATGAAGGAAAATCTCAGAATAACTATTCAGGTTAGTCCCTTTTTATTATATCAACTGGACTATATACTTTTTCCTATAATACTACAGTTGAGGAATACCCAATGAAGTTGATGGGCAAAAGGAAGTATTAGTTTACTCAATGATAAGTGAGTTCACTGCCAGTGTATATAGTGATGGCTACAAGGCTTTAAAGGGGGGTTAGACAGATTGTTGGTGGATAGGCCAGTCAGTGGCTACTAGCCATGTTAGTTAAAGGGAGCCTCCATATTCAAAGACAGTAAACCTCTGAATACTAGCACAAAGAGGTAACATTGGGGACAGCCTTAGTTTCTATATCCTGTTCATTGACCCATCTAGAGCAACTAGCTGGCCAGTATATAAAACAAAAATGCTGGTGGGCTAGGTGGACCACTGGTCTGATTCTGCAAGGCCCTTATGTTCTTACAGTAGACTGATTAACAAAAATCTTTAAATATTGAATGGTGTAAGGAGACAAAAATTTCCATCTAATCAACTGCAGTCACAAACCAATTCACAGCTTTGTCCTAACCATGTGTACTCAGAAGGAAATTTATCTTGCATTTCCGCGTACACTCCCTCCATTAGCCAGCATTTTACCTAAGGTTGCCAAACTCCCCAGTTTGCCAGGGGTCCCCCATTTTGGGGGGGTTCTACCCCACCCCCAACACCCACAGCCACCCATCTCTCTACCTTTAAGTGTGTGCAACCCATGTTTCATCCCAAGCACGAACTCCGCAAGCTTGCAGGGAAAAGCCAGCTTCATTCTTAAAAGGGAAACGCAGCTGCTCTTAAAGGGGAAACGCCAGCTGCCGGCTACTTTAACTGCAGGGAACTGCCGTTTCTGGAGATCCAGCGCACGGGCGGGTGGGGGCAGCGGCAGACGTCCCCAACGTGACGTCATCACATTGGGGATGCCCCACCCCCTCCAGGAACACCCCCAAAGTCCCCCGCTGGGGGTGGAAGATGGACTTGGCAACCCTAATTTTACCTGCCTTTTCCCCAGAGTGCATCATTAGAGGTTTTTTCAGTTTTTTTAAAAATGTAAGTGCTGTTATGGTACAATGCTATAACAATTTAATGCTGTGATCAACGAGTCCTGGTTCTGGCAATAGATCGTTACAACATGAGGTTGCTATAGCAATCTAGCAATGACAGGCTTTAAAAAATATTGCCCCAAAGTCCTCCAGTGGTGCAGGGGAAGTGGTGGCTGCGTGGGGGAGCTTAAGCAAGGAAAGTAGCAGAGGTGTGTCTGGGACCTTATAAAGGCACACCTTTCTGTACACACAGTGTACTAAGGTACACTGACTGTGATCTTTCTGAAAAAAATTTTTTAACCGGGTTTGGGAAAGATAACATCAAAGGAGAAGACCCAGAAAGTGGATGATTGGGGTGATGTCATATAGATGCTCTAGAGCCAGCTTCCATGTAGAAGCTACCTAGATTAACCTTGGTCTGATCCAGCATGTCCGTTCTTATGTTCATGGTTTCTGCCTAAGTAAGATCGTTCTGAACTGAGAACAGCTGTATTTACATGCAAGATCAAACTTTTGTAAGTAGGTGCTGCTTATCATAAAATAACTCAGTCTTTTCCAGTTTTTCTTTTCTGTTGTCATCAAAATAAAATACAGACTCAAGTGAATAAATTAATTTTGAAAAGAGTAGATTTCAGACGGGGGCTTTACATCGGTTAGGGTGCCGGTTCCAATCATTGTACTTACCGGTGTTCAGACGGGGCACATCTGCCTCCTCTCCTTAACCGGTGTAAAGCCCTTTACACCGTTGCACTCTGCTACCAGGTCCCCAAGTGGTGGTATACAGAGTGCAACAGTGGTAAACGGTGCACCCCGGCGTCTGATCGCTCTCCACCGGTGCCTAGGCATTTCCGTCGGAATCCTGAGGCTTCCGGCTTTCCCCCGCCATTTTATTTTAACTCTATGCGATGTGCGCTCGGGCGAAGCTTCGCCCTGAGCGTCTGTTAAAATAAACACAAAAAAACTTACTTTACCTTCCCGGAGGAGTCCGGGACTTAAGGGAGGCCAGGTTGGGATTTAAACTTTAAAGGTAAATCCTTACCTTTAAAGTTTAAATGTAATGGGGGGGGTTGAGCATGCACAAAAATCGCCATTCTCTGAATGGCTGCCTGTGCGCATGCTCAAACTGCTTTAAAAAAAAAAAACGCCGACGCCCGCAGCATGTGAGCGGGCGTCCAACGTAGGCATTCGCAAGATGGAGGGTGAGTCTGATCGCGTTTCTGCCGGCATAAACTGCACCGGTTCCAACCGGTGCAGTTTATGCCGGCAGAAAGGCCGCGTCTGAACGCACCCTATGTGTATTTTTGTATGCTGGTTGTTTTTTATAGCCCACCTTTCTTACTGAGATATGAGGTGGGATTACTAGAGGGTTGGTTTTTTTTAATCAAAACTATGAAATGGGTCTAAGATTACAAAACTGGAAAACATTGCAAACAAAACCAGTAAAAGACACGACGCACCATAGCAATGCAGACATAAGATCACAAAAGCAGAAGACAATGTAGCAAGAGTAAGATGAAGCATACGATAAACAGCGCAATAGCCCACAGTCCGTTTCCCATTATAAAAACACCCTTCTGAATGCTGTAGTTGGACATCCCTAGACCAGTGCTTTTTGGCAGGTATAATTGACTTTCAGTTCTTTTGGTTGATTTCCAGCTGCACATCATATTTGTCTATCTGAAGATGTATGGCCTGGATATGGCAGCACGTAAAGTGTAAAGAGCTTTAAGACTTTTGAGTCAGGGCTGAGCTCTCCCTTAAATAAGAGATAAATGCTTGTATAAAACCTTTTTTAACCAATTCAAATTATATTCTTTTTAGTGTCTAATTTGCTTGTTTGTTCTTGCACATTCTTTGTAGCAGAATGGGAAAGTTCACTCCATACCTTATCCCAGCTGTAGATTTTTCCACTTCCCCCAGCCCTGTGGCCTTTGTCTTTAGCGAAGTTTCAGCCATGTTGCGAAAGCACATGCGTGTTTGTTTTTCTTTTCAGCACAGGTTTGTTTGAAGCAGGCTTATGTTTGTTCTAGAAGGGCTATTGGTGCTCTCACATATTGGGAGACCAGTTTTAAGACATGCCTGGTGTACCACATGTTCACAGGAGGGGATGCATGCTTAGCATGTAGGTTTTTAATAATTAAGTCATTAGGATAAAATGAACCCTACTGATAAGTATGCTAACTGAATACAGAAGTCATTTGATCTATGATCCTGATGAGGCAGGGAGATCAGGCAGTGTTCATTCTCATCCACTGTAGAATGTGTTCCATAGTTTTCCATAACAATGCATGAAGTTCATGGTGTTAGAATGTTTGTACTGTGATGAGGATTTGGTTTCTAGTGAGGTTTCTTGGTTTCACAAAGCATTTGTTGGAGTTTCAGGAAATCACAACCCCACTATAGTATAACTAGTTTGTTTCTTACAGAGGATAGTACTGAAACACTTACCTGATGACTAAAAGGAGACTTTTTTTGTTTTCTCTCTAACATGTACTGAAGAAATGTTACAAGATTTTATTGCAATTATGTAGTAATCTATTGTTTGCAAATATTTATGAGATAGTTGGGCCGATATCTGTGTTTCACAATGGATTTTTTAATGACTACACAGTAAATAATACAGAGAAGAATAGTGTTGGAAAGCTCAGTTCTCTGTATGAAGCTCAGTTCTCTCCTAAATAGTGTTTAAAACTGTTGTTAAAGAAGGCTGCTTTTCTTTTCTTCCTCTCCCCCCCCCCAACAATGAACAGGAACATTTGATTGAGAATGAAGTATCAATACTGCGCCGAGTGAAGCACCCCAATATCATCATGCTAATAGAGGAGATGGATACTGCAACAGAGCTTTATCTGGTGATGGAACTGGTCAAGGTGGGAAGTTTACTGATATTAAATATGAAGTAATAGAAAGTTTCATGTTCAGGACCTATGCCACTGTACAGAAGGTAATGTAGATGCATCTATTCAAAGAGTCCCCTCCCTCAGCATGCAATAATTCAAGTCACCAACAGTGCAGTCCTATGCAAATTCACTGTAGTTGGAGCTTACTGATTTCAGTAGGATTACACTGAGTAACCATGCACAAGATCTCACTGTAAATCATGGCCAACATCCAAATATATCCAGTTCTGCTTATTGCAGACCATTTACTGTTGATTTTGAGATATGTAGTAGTGCACAGAACCATTGTATGTAAGTTACATTTGTATACTGAGTTGTCTTGGAAATGAAAATGTAGAAATCTGTTTCAGGAATAATACTCTGACTGGAAAATGTAACATTTAATTTGGTCCCACATATATGTTGTACACACTGTATAAAACAGTATTTGTTGTTATAGCATGTTTTTGTTACGCACGCTAACTTTTTATGTATTGAGCCCATTATGAGTTTTTTTGCCAGTCTAATAGAAACATTTATTGATGCCTTTGATACAGCTCTAACTAAGCTATTATAACTAGTTTAGTTTAAGTCATTCTTACATGAAGTTGACTTTACATTTTTGATATATTATGCAAGCTGAGTGTAAGCTGCTTCTCAACAGTGAGAAAAGTTGATGAAATTTACTATTGGGTTTTTTTGTCTTTTACAGGGAGGAGACCTTTTTGATGCTATCACTTCCTCCACAAAATACACAGAACGTGATGGTAGTGCAATGGTCTACAACCTAGCCAGTGCATTGAAATACCTCCACGGTCTCAATATCGTACACAGAGATATCAAGCCAGAGAATCTTCTAGTATGTTCTCCCACCTCTCTTCCACATTAATGTAAATGCATGCATGTGTTAGGAAGCAATCAGGGGTGTTGAGGTACATGAATGTAATAATTGTGTGCTTGAAGTTAATCACTTTTCATGAAATATTAATAGCATTTGGTCACATGATCTGCCTCTCTGACATTTCCCAAGTCCTATCCTTATTTACATTTTGATTGCTGATTGTGTCTTGGGTAAGCAGGATTTCATTCCTTGTTAGCAGCTAAGACTTCAAATCCAAAAAAATAAGTTCTTTGTAAGAGCAGACTGGAATTAACAAATGCTTCTGAATTGTTCAAAATTGTCCATCTGCTATTTACTCTCATTGCATGGTTATATTGTCTGTGAAGGAAATTGTTATTGGAGTCTGTCAGGAAAATCAAGATTTTACAATGCAGCACCTAGTAATAACAAAATATAAGGAGATGCCTTAAAGCTGTTTGTTACATGAACCCCTCAGCAAACAATAAGGTGCAGTTTGAGCAAACCCTAACTGCTAGTTCTGGCACATCCTTCTAGATTATCTTAGTTACTCAGGCAGGCAGTTTGAATTCAGAAAACTGTGAAATAAGAAGCTGCAGTTGGGATAAAGTATTAGGAAATTCCCTATCCCACTAACACCAGACTTCTCATCTCTGAATCTAGAAGGCTGGCTTTTTGTTCAGCTGTCCCTGAACCAAGCTGATTCTCTGTGTACTTGGAGAGTCCCTCCACAAAATATGAAAAGACCCTCCACCTGCTCAGTTGATGTCCCTGTTTTAGTGCTCTAAGATAAGCATGAGGCTATCAAGTTCACTATTAGAAGCAGTGTGTCTTTAGGAAGTGTAACTGAGAAACTGTTATGAAAATGTTAGGTCTTAATAATGAAATGTTATTAGTAATGACTTGACTGTTTATTGAACACAAGAAGGGGGTAACTCAGGGGCAGCTAGGTAGTTGGAAGTATCTTTCCATCTGTATATAATAAATACATAGATTGGTCTGGCTTTGATGCCAAAAGTTTCTAGTTTCTATCTGCTACAACAGACTAATATGGTTGCTTGCTTTGTTTGGGTGGGGAGATGGCAGGAGGGATATTATGAGATCTTGAAAAATACTGCTTTCCTGCTAACAGGTTTTCATATCTACAAGTAACAACATTGGCTACAGATGTTGTGACCATTTCAGAAATTCTTGCCAATGTTCCCTGTTTGGGGGGGGGGGGAATCACTATGGGGAAACTCATCAAGCAAGTTTTGATTGTTCACTTGTAGAAGCAAAAATTGTTGATGATGTCTTCTTAAATCAATAATAGTGACATCAGGAACTTAGTAAAATGGACCTCTTAGGGTAATCTGACACCTTAAGCTTCCATTAGTAATCAGGTATATAAATAGAGACATATGTTCTTTTTACTAAAGAGATTACATGACAGACAAGTCTTTATCCATGACTGCAGTAGACATTTACTTGTTGAGATGACATAAATATTTCACAATGTAAATGATTTCTTATCCTAGCAATATATTTAATTGGTGAAAGTTGTCTGATTTGCTTTTGCTAGTTCTTCATTGCTATATGCAAATAATATAAGGAACAGGAGATACAGTCTGTTTTATGGATAACTAGGAATAAGGCTCGTTGTAGATGCAATACAATGAGCTCTAGAAGGAAAGAAAGAATGAAGGAAGGAAAGAGAGAGAGAGAAAGAAAGAAAGAAAGAGAAAGAAAGAGAGGGAGAGAGAAAAGGAAAGACAGAAAGAGGGAGGGAAAGAAGTCAAAGAGATGGGGTGGGAGGGAGGAAAAGAATGCAAAGAGATAGGGAGGAAGGGAGAAAGAGGGAGGGAAGGGAAGAATGCAAAGAGATGGGAAGGAAGGAAGGGAGGGAAAGACTGCAAAGAGGGAGGAAGGAAGGAAAGAAGAGAGGGAGGGCCAGGGAAGGGGGGGCTCTCCAGCTCTTCCCTGGCTTGGCAGGCGAGCAGGGAAAGGTGGGGGTCCTCTGGAAGCCTGTCCCTGCCCATCCGCCTCAGCGGGCGGGCTGGGAAAGATGGGTGGGAGTGCGAAGGCCTTTCCCACCAGTCCACCTCGGCAGCCAAGCGGGGAAGGGTGGTGCAGAAGCCTCAGGAGTCCTTTACCCGCTCGCCTGCTGAGGCGGCTGAGCTGGGAAGAGTGGTGCGGGGGCCTCCAGAGGCCTTTCCCTGCCTGTCTGCCTTGGCGGGTGAGTGGGTAAAGGTGGCACAGGGGCCTCAGAAGGCGGGGGGTCGATACCGTGCGCCCTCCAGATCGTTGGGCCTGGCTGTCGCCACAGAGGCCACCAAGGGTTAAAGGCTGGGCGGTGCTTTCCTGTTCTCGCAGCCTGGTCAGCTTCTGTTGCAGCCAAGGATGACTGGTGTGGTGCTGCCATGATCAGCCTTGGGGTCCCAAGCGTCCTGGCTGCGGAACATCCATCCTCTTCAGTGGCTGTCTGTAGACTCAGGGCAAGAGTCTGGCTGCCAGTTATGTGGGCGGGACTCAGGCCACGCAGCCACCCAACGCAGCCCGGGGATTGGCAGAGGTTTGGAGTGGCACTTCATGTGGCCAACTGATTTTGCAGCGCATCGAATCTTGCCACCCCAAATGGCTTTTATATATAAGGAAAGGATAGACACTATAGATGATATACAGTTAGAAAATTCAACAATAAAATCATTCAATTGATTCATTTCAATTCAACCTTTAAAAATTGGTTCGATTCAGTCCAACCTTTAAAAACCAGAAACTTTAAAAAGCAGCATCACAGGTTATTTCGCTCTTGACGTTAATAACTTGAACATCCTCAAAGGGGCTGATGAATGAACCAATGATGGTGCTTTTTAACTCTCTGATTTTTAAAATTTTTGTTTCTCACAATAATCCCATGAAATATGTTAGTTTAAAGCAAGATATATTTTTAAAAAATGATGGTACTCATCAGTACTACTTAGTGGCACCTTTTTCAGGGCTCTACAAAGTCCTGAGGAGTCAATTGATGGAAATTGTCAGAATATATATGAATATTGGCACCTTTTCTTTTACATAAAAAAGCACTAGAAAGATTGATTCCATCATGCGCACTCAGTGAGTTTCTTGTCCTGAGCAGGAAGTCAAACACATGGCAGCTAACTCAACTATTTGCTATAATTTAGTTGGCTGTGATCCTAGGACAAGCTGGGAATCAGGGCTGGATTCAGTCATGTGCAAGTGGGAATATAAACAAGCTTAGTGGAGCTCTACTTGTGCAAGATCTTGTGCAACGTCTAGCTCAGGGGTGGCCAAACTTGCTTAACGTAAGAGCCACATAGAATAAACGTCAGATGTTTGAGAGCCACAAGACATGAACAAATATTACCCACATGTTTTTATTGAAAAATATGCAAATATGTTTTTCTATTCACTGTAAACGAGACTGCCAAAAATAAAAACAAAAGGGGTAAAAACAGTTACTGATAATGATATTGATTTGCCTTCTCCAAGCTGGCCGGGGGGGCGGGGGCTTTGAGAATGCACTTAAAGTTGCTTTCTTTCTCTGCTCCCCCCC